CCCTGTTCTAGTGATTAAGGCCCCTAAATTAGGGTTTAAGGTCAGGTCGCTACCAGTTCATGTACGAGAGTTGACACAAGAGAGGTCCATGGTCGGAAACCCGAAACTCGAAACCATGAAACCCCGAATTCCCAAATCCGAAGCCGTGGCCCTGTCCGATCAACTTATGTTAACAGGCAGCCCGCATTCCCACTTCTGATGGCTTGAACGAGCCGAGCCGTGCCATCAAACGCTGTAGGGTTAAGGGGCTGCACCATGAAGCGTGCACAACAATGTACCAAGCTCGCAGCGACCTATCCAGAGATATCCTCCGTCTACGGTTCAAGTTCCTGAGCATTTGAACCTATAGGTCCCTTGTGTTGTTGTAACCCTTATGTAACCCTTGCAGCAACACTCGTGTCTTACATGCTGACATCATAGTAACCCTTGTGCCAACCTTTTGTGATAGTAACCTTTGAAGCATCCCTTGGAGATACATGTTTTATAGTATACCTTACAGTAGCTTTAAGCCCTGATACAAGAATGGTAGAATCCGAGGAACTCGGCGCCGTTTACACCACTGCCGAGCTCGAGCTTCGCTGCAAAGCGCCCGACCGGCGCCGGAAGCTTCATGCGAAGCTCAGCAACCCGCAGCCGGGCTTTTGGGATTTAGGATGTTGGGTGTGCCGTTTGGGGCTTTGGGTCTAGGACCGAGGTTTAGGGTTTAGCTCTGAAACTTGCTGTTGACACGCAGTACTGCTCGAATTGTGTCTTCGGCTGAGACTATCTTGTAGCTACTGCTCTGGTTCTGACCAGCTTTCCATGTTGATAGGTACTGTTACTATTGTTGCCTATGTAAGCTATTGTGTGGTGTTCCGAATATATAGTTGCTGCCCTCATCGTCGCGACCGATGTGTTCTTCCTGTATCGAGCATCAGCATGATCAGCAATGTCAACATCATCATCCTCACCGTGCTAGTTGTCGGACTAACTGGAAGCTCACTGGTAGACTGAACGTGTGCATTGCAGGTATCCGGTACCACACAGACTTGAATTGGATTCAATGTATTCTTCGCGACACCATCGCCCCACCACCAGCCATCCCACCATCACCACCATCGCAAGCATCTGTCATCAGCAGCATCATCATCATCGC